AAAAAAAAAAAAAAACGCCGCATGCCATATGCTTCTATTTTCCACATATCATAATTTAAAGTAACATAATATCAGAAGATTTGCGGTTTGGATTATTATCCGAGCATACGCCACGTAGTGTACACCGTTTTAGTATGTCTTTCAATCCTTGAAAGATCTAACTGCAATGCTGGCCGGAAAATCCTCTAGGACATTCGGAAATTTCGAATAGTAATTTCAGTTTGTTTTTATTAGAAACATCTTGTTCTTTTATTTTTTTTAATCAGTGATATAAATTTGTATTTATTTTTATGCATATTTTCGCCATAAACCTTATACTATACAATTCAGTTTATGTATAATTTGGGAAATTTGTTTGAAGTTGTGACATGCGGCGTTTTTCCTTACAGTACATCGTAGTTGTATGCATCATACTTGTTGGAAACTTACATTTTATTGGCTAATTCTAAACTTTGATCCAGTAGTGTCTGACCTGGTAAACTGATCACGTACAAATGAAAATTTTGTGCTATTAGATACATTGTAGCCTTTAACGCTTCTTCTGGTCGGTCCAAGAAAACAATTACCTAAAAGATAAAAGTATCGATATGTTTCATTCACTTCCGATCATTAATGGACTAAGAATTTTTACGCAGAATCAGTCATAAAGATGTTCTTACTTCAACAGCTGTAACGCTAACAATGGCTATATTTAGTCCCATTTGTATTAAATACAAATTCCGGCAACATTTCTCAATAACGTTGTAAAATCTTAAAATGTAAAAAACGAATCAGAATCAGTTCATATTGTACTAATTCGTTATTGATTGTTAATTTTAGTTTTACTTTCATGTAACCGATACGGACTGAAGAGATTTATAATGCATTATTATGCATTGTTTGAACTGTTCGTATCCAATGTTGCTTATGTCAGGGCCATTTTTCTCAATGGTGTTATTTTCTGCAGTATTCTGGACCTGGGATCTGTACATGTTTACAACTCAAATATAAATAAAAATAAATGAACAAGGTTCATAAATGTTACATACATATAATGATACATAAATATATGTTACATACTAATAATTTCTGTGTAATTTTAATAGAAATTTTGTTTAAAACCATTCTTCTTACCCACATATTGCAAACAATCCGCAAGCGTGATAAATAATAGTAATATATAACGAGTCTACCGATATTATTGACAGTACGATAATCAATGAACACAAGGCTAAATGGACATACAAAATATAAAAATGTTCTTGCTCATCTAGGATGATATAATTGGCATTAAATACATTTTGTTTTGGTCGAGTTTCGTTCAATGGTATAAGAATATCCAGAACGGGGTTATACAAAGGAAAAGACGTAAATAATCCAAAAGCTAATAGTAAAGTTCCTGAAAGAATAATTTTTAATTGAGGAATAATTTTAAATTGAACAATGGTCGTACAAGT